TTGTAGAAATATATCCTTTTTTTCAAGGTGAAAAGGGGCCCACAGATCATGAAGAATACCTATAAGACTAATATCACTCCTCAATGAAGAAAACCTCTTCATGGAAGCCACTCTCTGTCAGTGAGATGATTCATTCTTTAGGACTGGAATACAGAGAACATGGCTTGCTCTGTCACTTATCATCTTCGTGACACTTTGTAAGTCATTTAACCTCTGCCTTACATGCTAGGTACTTGCTGAGTGCTTGTGGAATTGAACCTTACTTGGCTCCAGTTTCTTTTTTCTGTAAAGTGGTAGTGGGAAGCTAGACTCAATGACCTCTAAGGTCCTTTCGAGCTCTCAGAATTGTGAATTAACTACACTCAAAGTGACCTCCTCTTTTCAAGGCAGACAGTTTTTCTGTACACTTGAATTGAACACCCTCTTGCAAACTCTGGAGCTATCCTCTTGTTATCTAAACTGTCAAGGAGAAATTGCAAGGGTTCTGAAGCTGGGGTCCGTGAGCTACTTTTTTTTTGTTTTTCATAATTTTCAATGTAATTGGTTGTAGTCATAATTTGTGTGTTTTATTAATTTAAAAATACTATTTTTAGAAGGAGTCCATAGGCTTCACTAGATTGCCAGAGAGATCACACACACACACACACACACACACACACACACACACACACACAACACACACACACACACACACCTCCCCCACAGATTAGAGGACTGATGAGCAGGAAAGATGTGTATCACCTTCTTTACCCGAGGAGGGAAGAAAGCCACCTCTTTTCTATTTGTCCATACGTTGGAGGGCCCTGAGGGGGAAGCTGCTGGGCAGCTCTCCAGTGACAAGCAGGGAGGGTGGCAGAGAACCGATAGGGAGGGTTTGGTGGTACTGGTGGGAGAACAGCCGATTCCATGGGGGGTGGGGGGTGGGCGTGGGGTGTGGTGGAGTCGGTCCCTGTCCAGAGTACCAAACACTAGTAAAAGTAGAGTCGAAGTACACAGGCTCTCATAAACTGGAGTTGTAAAGGCAGTGGAGGGGAAGGCTCATTAAGCCGAGGACGCTGAGAAAAATAGACAAAGTGCAGCGGGTCAAGCTGCCTTCAACCCTCAAAGCTTGGAGCACGCTGCAGAGAGGCTCCTGCAGAGGAAGGAGCAAGGCAGGAGGGGACAGAACACTATGTTATTTGGTCACAGACCTCTTGTCGGACTCTTATTTGCTAATCTCCACTTTGGTTCTTTGTCCTTTCCACCTGATTTCAGGAAGGTGGAAGAGGGTGCAGAATAAAACAGTGAAGTCTGCTTTTAAAAAAATTTTGATGCCCAACCTCAACATGTTGGGGACAAGAGGAGAGTGGAATGAATAACCCAAAGTGAAGATCATGAGAAGGACGCCCATATCAGCTTGCAAAGTGGCCTGGGATCAGAGGGCAGAAAGGTTTGCAAACACTTGGAAAGTAAGTACTTTTAACCCAATTAAGAATGAGTAAAACTCTCCAGAGTTTTTATGTGTTGTGTGAGTGTGTGTGTGTGTGTGTGTGTGTGTGTGTGTGAAAGAGAGAGACAGACAGAGGGACAGATAGACAGACACAGAAAGACAGATACATAAAGAGAGGGACAGACAGAGAAAGTGTGCTTGTGAGAGAGGGAGAGATTAAGAAACAGATCAAGAGACAGAAAAACACAAAGACACACAGAAAATGTGTGTAAGGGACAAAGACAGACAGAAAGGCAGAGACAGACAGTGAGACAGAGACAGAGATGAGGGGAGGGAGAGAGGGAGAGACAGAGAGAGAGATGGAAACAGATAGACAGAGGAGAGAGACTGACAGAGAAGAGACACAGAGGAAAAAGGATAAAGGGAGAGAGAAAGAAACCGAAGGTGAAAGAGACAAGTCCCTGTGCTATAGGCACACCAGATTACTCTCTAAAGACAAACATTTGGACCTCTGGAAACATTTTTACATTCAAGATAATTCTAGGTTTTACTTCTGAGTGAACACCTCTGTGTCTCTCTTAAATTTACAGGATGTTAGAAAATACAGAATGGTAGCAGTCATGATAGAAGAGAAAAAGGTGTTAAAAATAATATCTTACTATGTTAATTTTGCAGTACAGGTAAATTCAAAGATATGAAGTCTGCTATACTGGCCTTTCATTGCCAGGTCAAGAACCAGTTTTGATTTGTGAGTAAGTTTAACTAGCAGAAATGGAGCTTAATAGATATCATAATGTTACTAAATTCAAGAGAGATTAAAAGGACTCCACCCAAGGTCCAGATATGTACTCAGAAACAGCACTGATACCAACTATCTTTCAAAATTCTATTTTTAACAAGAACTTTATGATGTAGGATTCCTTTATTTACTAAATAAAGTTTAAAATGGTGACGCTAATTTTCTTAATAGTAAAATGATTTAGAACTAAAAGTTCACAATTAATATTTTAACTAAAATAACATGCAAAATATCCATTTTTTAAACATTTTGATATTTTATGTGACCTACATTGGGTAAGGTTCAATCATTTCAGTTTTATCTGACTCTTTGTGACCCCATTTTGAGATTTTCTTGACAAAGACATTGGAATGGTTCTCCATTTCCTTCTCCAGTTCATTTTATGGATTAGGAAAACAAAGCAAATAGGGTTAAGTGACTTGCTCAGGGTCACATGGTAAGTGTCTGAGGCCAGATTTGAACTAAGGAAAATGAGTTTTCCTGACTCCAGACCTGGTATGTCAATATTTTATCTATAATAATCTATTTCCTAGGAATGAAAACGTTTAGAAAATATGAAGATGAAGATGTATATTATATATGTACATACATAAATTTATATATTTTAATATATATATATATATATATATACATATATATTTTAAGTTTACTTTGACAGGTAACTCAAGGTATAAATCATTTAAAAGGAAAAACTAATTTTAGGCAATAGCTTCAATATAGATAATTTACTAACAAAAATTTTCCTTACTAGACAAAATAACAGAAGTCCAATAAGCCTTCTATTTTTCAAAGGCAGAAAGAATATGATAGCAAACATGGAAAGTCATCTTTTTCTTTTCATTTCTACCAAGTCAACAAATGTATGAGATTAATGAGAGTTTGGTTTTGAGAGTCAGATGCAGGCAGGTGCTAATTTAAAACAACGAATGATCAAGATCCTCAAGCATGTAGAAGGGAAAAAAAGCATCTGCCAAAGCTGAGTCTTTGTGGAAACCCTAAGTGAATAGGAAAAAAAGTATAACCCAGTTCGTTGAACATAGTCACATGATATTTTATATTTTGCAATATTTTATAGGTTCATAAAGTGCTTTCTTCATAGTAAACCTTTAAGTAGTTAGTACAAGTATTTTGCAGATGAAGAAACTGACGCTTAGAGAGATCAAATGATTTGTTCAGTCTAACAAACAGGCAATAGTATCTAGTGGAGACGGGACGTGAATATGGATCCTTGTGACTAATGCAGTAGATAGAGTGATTTGGAATCAAAGGACGTGGCTTAACATCCCAGCTCTGTGACTTACTATCTGTTTGACCTCAGTCAAGTCAGACTTTTTGGGACCCATTTTTATTTAAAAGAAAAATCTGAAAAAGGGAGTTGTGTTAGAAGATCTATAAAGTCCTTTCCAAGTCTAAATCTATGGTCCTAAGATCAAGTTAATTGCAGTGATGAGCTCTGTAGACATTTGTTGAACAAATAAGAAAGCAGCAAAGGGACAAGAGGATTAATCAGAAATTGAAGTAAGTAAATAATCCATCAAGTAATGTCTATGAAACTGAGACTAAAAGAAAGAATACTTCTCAGCCACATTCAGAGAAGCATTGCACAAACTGACAGTTGAGACATGATCCATGCTTGGGGCACTGACACTAATTGACTCTGTGAAAAATTGTGTTACTTGTCTGGACCCCAGTTTCCTCATCTGTAAAATGAGACAGTTGGGTGAAATGATCTCCAAGGTTACTGTTCTGTGGTTCAGTGTTCTTTACCTGCTTCATGTAGCTCCTATTTCCCTGCATGATCATGGCTGATGACAGCAATGTCAAGTTAATTGAATATTGTTGTTTGGTCATTTCAGTCATGTTTGACTCTTTATGACCCCATCTGGGGTTTTCTCAGCACAGATACCAGAGTTGTTTGCCATTTCCTTTTCCAGCTCATTTTACAGATGAGGAAACTGAGGCAAACACGGTTAAGTGACTTGCTCAGAGTCACATAGCTAGTAAGTATCTGAGGCCAGATTTGAATTCCGGAAAATGGGTCTTCCTGACTCCAGGCCTGGCACTCTGTCCACTGTGCTACCTAGCTGCCCTAATTGAACACTAACAACTCATATTTATAGAGTCCTTCAAGGTTTGCCTTTTAGGTTTGTCAAGAACCTTCCTCAAAACAACCCTGTAAGAAAGAGTAAACACTATTATTCTCATTTCACACGTAACAGGGACATGAATTTTCCATGTTTGAATTTTCCATGCCCTGGTTACATTCAAATGAAAAAACAGAAGCTCTGAAAATTTAAATAACATTGGTAGCATTATGTAAGTGTCAAAAGCAAGATTTGAACCAAAGTCTCCTGGCTTCAAGTGTAGGACTCTTCCTACTGCATCATATGACTTCTAAATGTTTGTATCCTTTTCAAGTGTGCATGTGTGTGTGTGTATAGGCATGTTGTAGCAAATTCAAGAATCCTGAAGAATCTTAGCAGTCACATTTCCAGATTATAACAAGCTCTGACTGAGGGGCCCTGTCCTGGTATGAAAATGAACATTTTAACTTTCATCTTCTCTTCCATTTCTTCTTCATCTTCTTAGAATACTTTGCCATGAGGAAATGATATTGGATGTTGCCATTTGTAATAGCGCTCCACTGAGGAACTCTCTTCAACACAAGGAAGGCAACCTCATAAGGAAGCATTTGAACACCTAGCCTTCTCTATGTCTCCAGATTGCTTAGTTGCTCAACCATGGTTTCTAACAAGTCAAGATAAAAAGCAGGCCCCTTCTGATTACAAAGATAAAAAAGGCTTTGATCCTGTTCATTAGAACTGTTTGTGTGCTCATTGCTCTCAGATTGACTAATGCTTAGAGTAAAAAGTGGAAGGCTTTAATTTTTTTTGTGGCAACTGAAAAATTTGGAAAAAAACATTTTTCTTTACTGGATTTCTTTTCTTCATCTGGTATCCAAAATGAGTATCAATCTGACAACAAACCTGAGCTTCGGGACTCTGCTGACTGACTCTGAGGAAAAACAAAGAAATGGACTTTCTAGAACAGGCCACACCATCACGGCAGTATTCCTGGGTTTGATACTTATCTTGGGTTTCGTCAATAACTTCATTGTGCTCGTCCTCTTCTGCAAGTTTAAAGTCCTTCGAAATCCTGTGAACATGCTTCTGCTGAACATCAGCATCAGCGACATGCTGGTTTGTCTTTCAGGTACCACACTGAGTTTTGCATCCAGCATCCGAGGCAGGTGGATCGGAGGATACCACGGATGCAGGTGGTATGGTTTTGCCAACTCTTGTTTTGGTAAGAAGTCCGGAAATCTGAAGTGTCTTGGCAGTCACAAGCAGGGTTGTAGATCTTTTTCTTGAATGTGGTTATAAATCTAAGGAAGTTTTTCTTTTTTTTTTCTTTTTTGCTGTTGTGTGAATATCCAGGAATGTGGTAAATCAAAAAGTTCTGTCTTTTGGTATGTTTTTCAGATTCATGATCTCGCCTAAATAGCACTGTATTTTCCGTTTATCTGAATCACAGTAGTAAAAGAATTGTGCAAAACACATTTCCCACAGATGACTTACATTATGTCTCATTGTATTTGCTGTCTTTAGTCATGTTACTTAGAATGGCTGAATAATGAAATGGTAAAGAGAACAACTAATAGATTACCAAAATCCCTTGGGAGCAAGACTTCTCAAACATAGCCCTTAGTAACAACCATTTTACTTGGTTAGTTACAGCCTTTCTTTGAGTATGTAAAAAATGACCTGACATCTCTGATAGGACTTAGCTTCTAAAATGTAATGTTCCTGAAAGCTTGGTTTACTTGGCTGCAATACTAATTTATACTTAGTACTAGAATTTATGGGCAACTAGGGGACTCAGTAGATAGAATGCTAGACATGGAGTCGGGAAGATCTGAGTTCAAATCTGGATTCAGACACTTACTAGCTGTGTGACCCTTGGCAAGTCTCATAACCCTGCTTTCCTCAGTTTCCTCATTTGTAAAATGAGCTGGAGAAGGAAATGGCAAACTATTCCAGTATCTTTGCCCAGAAAATCCCCAAAAGGGGTCACAAAGAGTAGGACAAGACTGAAAACAACTAAATAAGCAAAATAGAATTAGGACAAACAGCATGGCAGAGTAGATAGCCATCTTGGAGTCAGGAAGTCTAGAGTGACTGTGGGACCTTGGGCAAGTCCTAGGAAAATCTCTAAGATTGTGAATTGCAGAGCAGGTACCCATTTGCCCTGGTGGAGGGACTTTCTTCAGCAGGATTTTTCTATTCCATTGACATTACAGGTTCTGTATAACAATAATAACAATAACGAGAAATAGTATACTAGTTCCCCAAAGGAACTTTAGGAGTAACTTATTCTAAGCCCCTTATTTTACAGATGAGAAAGCTAAAGCCCAGGAAGAGGGGTGACTTGTCCAAGATCAGACAGATGTGTTAAAGAAGTTTCTTTTTTGTAAAAAAAACTGTACTCATTTGTGAGATACCAGAAGGCAAAACAGGCTATCACAATCATTCTTAACCTCTTGAGGAGGCTTTGGTATGTTGATTCAGCCTTCTGCACAAACTTCTGCTGTTAATCCGGCCCCCCCCCCTTTTTTTACTTTCAAAAGGTTTGGATAAAGGCTTTTGCTTTGGGGGAAAATGTTAAAGATTTGGCTAGAATAGCTTTTGGCAGAACAAAATATCCTATTGTAATTTCACTTTGGACAGTCATCTAAAGAAAATATAATTGATATATGTATATATCCATTCTTGGAAACAAGTCATGTATGTGGTCTTTGAATTAAATAATTAAACCTGCTAAGTTATTATTGACAAATAATTAAAATATGCCATTTACCATTACATCACTCATGCTTTTCTTTGTGAATGAATGCTTTCCTCAGTAACTGAAGAAGGGGCAAGAGGAAAGAAATTGGGATCACGTAGGTAGGAATTGCCCCACAACCCTTTTCTCTCCCTTTCTCAGTCCTGACCTCTAGCTCTTTACCATGTTATTAACCCAGAGAGGAGGGTAAGAGAGGGGACAAGAAAAGGGGCAGGATGGCAGGTGAACTATTCCTATTGGGATTAAGTTGCACTAGTAGCAAAACTGATTTAGACCTCAGAAGTTCTAGATACGGGGGTTCTTAACTACTTTCTATCACTGATCTTGCTGAAGCCTATGAACATCTTGTCAGAATAAGGATTTTTAAATGCATAAAATAAAGCACAGAAAATTATGAAGAAAGATCGAAATTAGTGATAATAAAGATACATTTTTCCCCTCCCAAGTTTACAGATTCCCTGAAATTTACGAATAGCATCCTTGAGAATCCATGTTTAAGAGCTTCTGTTCTAGGCCAATCCTTTGCTTATAACAGGCACTCATTAAATACTCAGTCTTTAGCAATGGGAGGGTCCCCTAGCACGTCCCATCTTCAACTCCAACCTCAGCACTTAAGGATAGAAGCACTATCATGTAAAAGCTTCTCATATCTTTGCTTATCTTCATGAGGAGCTGAGTTTTCTTCAAGTCCCTTCTTAGACCAATGACTTGAGTACATAAATCTTAGGGAGTGTTTTTAAGGTACAGAGATTAAGTGACTTGCTCAAGGTTAAACCTGTGGTGTCAATGGTGGGACTTGAACCCAAGTCTTCCTGATTCCAAGCCCAGCATTTTATCTACTTCTTCATGCTATCTCTATGCATATCATTATGTCTAAATTTATTTAAAAAAAAAAAAGGAAAGAGGGGAAAAAAGAAATTTACGTGATAACTTCATTATATATTTAAAAGGAATAGCAAATTGTACATAACAGATTTGCAGTTTCATGTGCAATCATGATTTTATTATATGATTATGAAAATGCTTTTTTAATTCTATAAGTTAAAATATAAATAAATTAATTAAAATATTATTATATTTGGACATTCATCTACTATATTTAAAAATTGAGATGGAGGCTGACTGGCTATTCTGACTGAGGCATTTGTACCTTTGGCAGTGACATCTCAGGTCCCAGGTTTATTCTGTTGCTTTGCATATTCAGAAACTTGATTTTATCCATTAATCAGCTTGATGATCATTTAAAGGGGAGATATCCACATTAATTAAACAGACAAGAAATTGACTGATTAAACCCAAAGTTTTACTAAGAAGTATATTTGCTAATAGAAATAAAACACATCTGCTGGTCTGCAAGTCCTTTTATCAGTAGAAATATCCATTTGTAAAAACCAGCTTAGGACTAAGAGGTTTTTGGTAAGTATAGAGTCGGAGTACAGGTAATTAGATGATGTTTGCTGGACCTAGAGTCAGGAAGGCCTGAGTTCAGATCCAGCCTTAAATACTTAATAACTCTGTAACCCCAGGTAGGTCACTTAATTGCTACTTGCCTCAATTTCCTCATCTGTAAAATGGGAATAATAGTAGTACTTACCTCATAGGATTGTTGTGGGATAATATTTGTTAAGTATTAGGCATAGTGTCTGGTACATAAAAGGTACTATATGAAGGTTAGTTATTATTATTACTATCATATGGTATTATCATTAATTATAATTATAATAATTATTATTATCATATGTCAACCAAACTATGAGAATTTGATGTTCCCCATCCCATTTTTAGGGCTATCAGCCTATAAAGAATACTGTAATATTGTGTTAGCTGGTCAGGGTACCCTCTCTTCTGCACATTACTGGAGAAAATTTTTACCACCTAACTCTACTTTCCCAATGTTTTTATTAGTCACCGAAAGCTTTCACTATCACAACACAACATGTGATGGACATAAAATGATTTTTGTTTGGTAACAGCCTTCTTACATTTTAGTTGGAAGTCAGAAGATGCTTGATAGTCACATTTGTAAATTGCCTCTTCTTAGGTTCATTACTCTCTGGGAAGGTTTCCATAGATAGCTGAGGTCATTCATTTTGTGTTGCTTTTTGCTAGTTTCAATTTTAGAGAGTAGCATTTTTTGACCTTTCCCTGAATTTTGGTTAGTACATCTTCTTGGCTTCTTCTCCTTCTCCTTGTTCTCCTCCTCCTCCTTCTCTTTCTCCTCCTCCTCCTTCTTCCTTCTTTTCTCTCTCTCTCTCTCTCTCTCTCTCTCTTCCTTCCTTCCTTCCTTCCTTTTTTTCCTGGGTCTCCTTAGTTGTAAATAGAATCCACAATCTGAAAGCCACTACTGATTAGCATGTGAGCTTTGACCTACTTCATTTTCTGACCTTGGCTACCTTATTTGGGAGAGATTCCTTTGGGACTTTAAAGTTTCCTTTACTCTTGAGTGGTGGATATTTTAAGCTGATGTTACTTTGATAAAGCGGTGGTCTAAGGTTATAGTTTCCCCAACTGAATTTTCTCTCCTTTCCACACCAACTTTTCTGCTTCTTTAATTGTTGCCTACCCTCATCCTATCAAAGGTTCCCAAAGTGGGTAATACTGCCCCCTTGCAGCTGCTGGAACTATCCAGGGGTGCAGTAGTAGCCTCAGGTGCAATGTGGGGGGGGTGGATAAAAATAAGGAAAGAAGAGAGGATAAGAAATTTCAAAAAACCATATGTGTTTCATCTGTTGTGTAATGGAGTTAAAGTCGTAGTGACTGCATTATTTTCCAAATAAATACACAAAATACAAGTTATAACTTATCAGTGGTCAAGTCTGCTGACAGGTCTTACTGAGCAAGTGTTGGCAGATAAGCATGTTGTGCATGTCAGGAAGTCCAGCATGCATTTGCAGGAATATGTGTGTGTGATGAGTTGTTTCCAATATGATTCTATAGGGTAACATGATGCAATATTCATCATCAAAATTTCATTGCAGGAAAAATCCACAAATTTACAATTTACAATTGTATTGCATTGTAAATTTACAATAAATTATTACATTTAAGATGTATTATTTTAAAAGTATTTTATATTTTTTGAAATGATGCAAATTAAAAAAAAACATTAAAGGGTTAAAGAAAATAGATTTCCAAGGGGGCACTGAGTAATTTTTTTTGAAAAGGGGGCAGTAAGCCAAATAAGTTTAGGGACCTCTACACATTCTTTTTTGGTTTTGTATTACATATTTATTTCATTTTCAATTAACAGAACAAAGCAAGCATTTCCATAACAGTACAATAAAAAAAGATGATTGCACAAGAAACTGCAAATCTAACCATGTACAAATTGCTATTCCCTCTAAATATACAACAAAGTTATCACTTAAATTTCTTTTTTTTTTCCACCCCCTGCAAGATGGCTACCAACAGACACAAATAGGTATATATATATATATATATATATATATATATATATATAT